TAAATGCTTACAATGTGGATTCAGCACCTAGCTTTTTTTAGATTAGATTCCTACATTGTCACTACACAGAGTACAGCGAAATTCCAAGCGTTCCCGATGGTGCAATCACACATAACAGACCGTATAAGTATAATTTTAATATATAAAGTGACTATAAATTGGACCTATGATACATTGAACAGTACGCTTACAAAACAATACAACATTACCATACAAATACAAGAACAATACGGTCAAGGCAGCACAAAATGTAAACAAGTCAGTAAGTAAGTTATTGCACATGTTATCAGTGCAGTTGATAATTACAAAAATAGAATAAATATGTGTTCTATAAAAACGTTGCTTTGACACAAAACAAATATGCAACAGGAAGTTAAAGTGACTGCACATCATTGCAGCTACTGGAACTGATACTGGTTAAATGACTGAGAAGGAAACACACATTCAAACCCAAACAAACCTCAGCATCCCCCTGAAAATAGTTTATTTCTCAGAAATCTGGATTATTTCCCAAATACACTACCATATTTGTGAAATAGAGAACTAGACAGCCCAAATGGCATAACAGTGGATATTTTTCATGTCAAATCTTTTAATAACTTCTCTGGTAAATACCTAAAGTTGGGCAAATTAACAGAAACTCCTTCTGTTTCAATGCAATGCGATGGGTGAGTTAAATGAGACTCGTAATGTGCAGTTTCTGTTGACTGGAATCAATCAATTTTGTTATGATTGATTATTAGAAGCAGAAATGTCCAGGAGGGATTGTAGCCTTTGCAGACTATTTACATGCACTAAAACCTATACAAAACACTACAGGAAAGGGAAAACCCAAACATAATTATAGTGCCTCTTTAACTGACAGGTGAATTTCTTTAAATGTATTTATTTGATTAAAATGTTAAACAATTTTGTTGTAGTTTGTACTGTAAGTATGATGTGACAGTTTGCATTGCCAGGCCAACAGAAGGAGGTATATAGCTCCTCAGCATGTTGAAGCATCCGTTTCAAACACTGACTCATTGTGTATTGTGTATCTGCAAGGGCAGAAATATCAGATATCATTGAATCTGAGACTTATTCATTCTCCAGCCGTATCAGAACTACAGCCTGGTGGTGCAAGAGAGGCCGGGCTGGGTTTCAACATTTCCTCTTTGCTACCAAATGACATCAGTGACTGTCTCAACATACTCTATAAAGAAAAGTCATAAGGGAGGAGATCATTACGCCCTCCATCCTGTCCATCAGTGTCACAGTCACATGAACGTTAGAGCCACTCGCCTGCAGGCTACTCACTCACTTCAGCTGCTTTGTGATTACACATCACGCATCACACCATGCATGACTCATATAGAGAAGGCCGAGCTCAGAGGACACAAAATGTCCTTCAAATACTCTAACACTCTGAGACATTCACAAACATTTAAATGCCGAGACACCACTGATATCAGGACGGCAGAAAGTAATGTCCACAACTGAAATCCCACCTGTTTCGCTTGTACCTTGGACACAAGATAAAATAAAATAAATTGCACTTAAAGGTTTTAGCCCATTTGAAAGTATTGCCTCAGCACTTACAATGGTTTTGCTGATATTGTAGTAAATATGTCAGCACTTTTCTTGTTGTTCTGTTTGTATCTTTACGGTTTAAGGCACTTCGTATAAGTCGTTCGGATAAAAGCATCAGCTAAATGAAAGGAAATGACAGTGATACAACTAGTGTTCAATACGAATAATACTTTACATTAACATTAATGAAATATAACTTCATTTCCTCATGTATTAGCTGTAGTGCTAAAGTGCATTATGATCTTTTTAAGAGTAAATCTGATACTGAGCACTTCAAACCTACTCTCTAACAAACGGACCATAAACATAATTTGTGTTTAAATGATGGCTGTGTTGATGCACTAACAACACATGAAGCAGAGGGTCATGAGTCTCTGTGCTGTATGGACAGAGAGATGAGAGGATCACATGCTCTACACAGGAAACAGAGTGCACACAGCACAGTGTTGCTTTCCTCTCACACACACACACACACACACGCTAAACAAATGCACATGCTACCCTCTGACTGCGCATAAAACACACTAAAGTGGTGCAATTCTTCTCACATGGCATCTGTTCTTAATGCATATGATATGATTCAATTCAAGGGGAGTCACAAGATATATTTGAGTTCACGTGTGGGAGACGTGGCTGAGAGTCACCCAGCCCCTCACTTCCTAACCAACGCTGGGTTCGTCCCACTGAGTTTTTCAGGAATGCCAAGAACTCGGAGCTACAATGAACTAAAACTAGTTCTGTGACAAAGCTCATGAATGAGACACACACAACCAGAGGCAACGTGATGTCGTAAACAAGCCTCCTCTGCTGTGCAACGACCAAAACCTCAACCTTTTTTTTCTTTTTCTAAAAGGAAACCCTAACAAAACAGCAGATGAGTTCCAATAATCACTGAACAACATCTGCACAGAGTTCTGCTGGGTGACAGCCAGCACAGGAACTAGCTTAGCCCCAAATATGAAGAAACAGAGGCCGACCACAAGTCTAAACATAGGCTCCTTGTTATTGCATCTAATTCCTTTTAAAAGAGGTCGATAAGGTCCGCTCACAGTGGATCTCAAACAACCTTATGTTAATGAACGTCCTCATATAGCTTAAACAGGGACCTTTTTGTGGACTGAGATTAGGATGTTGGGGTCAATGCAACCACCATTGCTTTTCACAAAACACCACAAAACCATCCCATGTATTGCGTGAAGATCCTCTTAAAATAGGTTTCAAAATCGTCACCAAGTCGAGCTCAAGATGAAGTGAAATTACTTGCTAACTACTACTACTAAAAAGTGAAGTCACACTGAATTGAAAAAGTAGGCAATGGCAGTATCTTCCTCTGGTTCCTGTGTTACTGTTGTGCAATGCCACTGCTCATGTGCAATGTATACATCCTACTATGTATGTGTACTTACTTAATTGTATTAGCATGTGCTTTCTTCTAACTCTAATACGTTAGCTATATATACACAACGGGACAAATCAAGGATTTCTAAATGATTTTCTATTATATTTTAGTATCTTTAGTGATCTTAAGAAAAACACTCCACCCCAAACTGCTTCTGATAAGCCGTCCAGATCCTTTCATAGCAAGAAAAACTCATTTTAAATGGTTATTGGCTGAATAAGAATCGGTGAAACCTTCTGAGGACTTTTTGACAGTGGCTCCCAACTTCTCTGTTCATTTTAAATGGATCAATCTTTTTTTAAATCGAAGAACCAAATGTCTAGATGTGAAACTAATCCAGAAATTGGCCAACAACGGAGACTCACTTTACTTGAATTCACACAAATGTCAACAGGGTCACACCTTTGTAAGTCAACATTCCCATAAGTCCTTGTGATTGCAATGTGGCTTCAAAAGTCTACCTATTGAGATATTTAGTTGACATACTCTGTTGTTAAGAGGTGCAAATAGTTGTAAATTGTCCTGCTGACTGAATGTTCTTCATGTAGACAGGCACTAGAAGACTCTACCTGTATATTCCTAAATCCAAACATAAATGCCAACCGATCTAAACAAAGAGGTCTACTAGGAAATATCATGAAATACATTGTGTGTTAAGCTTTGTCTCATCATAGGCATGCATGTTTGGACAATAGTGTCACTTGTAGACAACACATCATTAAACGATATCATTTAATTACATTTCAAATGTATTAATGCAATTCATGTTTATCATGTAATGTGTATTGCAGTGTATGTCAGGTGTTGATCCCAGGAAGACATCTGCTAATGAGGATTCCTTATATAAACAAAAAGACTGTATATGAAATGTGTTTCCTAATTTTAAAGTACAGAATACCGCTATAAGAAAGGATATTCTTATTTACCTTATGATTACTATTTGAGCCCTTTAACATCAGTCACCTACAGAACTATACGTCTGCAAAAGGAGAACTCTTCAAAAAAAGAACAGTTGCATAATATCAAGAAAAGTCACACTTGCATGTTCTTACTTTAACAGTCCATTGGTGGCTAAAACGAGCCAACTATAGTATCAGATATGTAAGAAGATGAGCAGACAGGCCTCTGAAGAAGAACATATTTGTATATCTGTGTCACTCAATAGGAATAGTGTCACATCAGTGTGTGTGTTAACGCTGAATTCCTCCATGCAAAGCAGTTTGTATCAACTAAATGTTTACAGAAGTAGCTCAGCCTTAAGAGTCTGAGTCTGTGTCTATGTTGTCCTTGTAGAGGACTGCCTGCAGCCAAATGGCATTCTATCAAACAGGTTGCGAAAACACACACACACACACATATATAAACAAATTCCTTTTCCTTAGATGGCTGGATATGCCACTTAATGATGTGAATGATATCTCCTTCTGAAGCATGTCTCTGTGTGTGTGTGTGTGTGTGTGTGTGTGTGTGTGTGTGTGTGTGTGTGTGTGTGTGTGTGTGTGTGTGTGTGTGTGTGTGTGTGTGTGTGTGTGTGTGTGTGAAGCATACTCAACATGTGAAAGCTCTGCAGTCTGTTCCCTCAGCTCCTTCTCTCTGCAGCTCTCAACTTGGCAACAACACAACTCAAAACACATGCCTTATGTTCATCTTGCCTACATCCTCATAGCATACTAGTTTGTGAAAACACAGAGGAAAAACTGCTAATACAAGAGCATCATTTGTAAGAGGAAGAAAGCACAGCCCTTGGCCTGTTGCCCAAACCCTGGCAGATCCCTGTACTGTGTGACAGAGGTTTAACAACCCGACTAAATGCTTCTTTAGACGGCGAGGTAAACATCTCCTCTCAATTGATTCGCCATCCCTACTGGAATCAGTCCCAGCTGCTGCTTTCTGGAGGATGATGACAACTTATTTTTCTGCCTATGAACCAATCTCGGGTCTCACGGTTTCCGCTTCACTTGGAGATATTTTCCACACTCGCACACAAGCAGAAAAGTCACACGGAAGTAAAGATAGAGAGTTCTTAACGTACCTGTGTCAGTATGAAACGCTGTGCACGGGTTTTCCTCTTCAATATGCTGATGTTGGCTGTGGAGGAGCTGTGTGCAGCCTGAAGTCTGCAGAGGACTGGCAGGCAGGCAGCAGGCAGCTAAACCGACCCAGAGCCATGCATAATCAGGGTTCAGTCCAGCCTCTGCTGAGCACCAGGCGAGGAAGTCGGGTTACTACAGTACAGTGTGTTGAAATGTTACTTAGGTTTCTAAACAGTGTCCTCTTACAAAACGGATTGCTATTTAAACCAAATTAGACAATACATTTGCCATAGTCAACTATCACTAACATTTATCTTCTTTTTACATGACTATATGTGCATTTACATAATATTAACAACTTTTTTCCTGTTGTATGAACAATTAAATAGAAAATAAATGAATGTATTATAATTATTATACATATATTGACTATAATTATAGTTGTTATAGTTGAATATTCTTTTTTTTAAATATATTTACAACACTATGTATGATTTTTCTACTCTAAAATGTACAAAAGATAAGAGGAGGTGGTTAAGGTTTTGCTTGATAGATAACAGTGGCTAACAATTAGTTAAGAAGTAGCTAGTCTGCTTGCTTTGGTTTATATACGTTATTTTAATACGCAACCTGATGGTTCATGTATTACATTAGTTTGGTTTTAATTTATATTATAAACATACCTGAGATTAAGTCATGTCTTGTATCAAGAAACTCTTTCTTTTGCATTTTTAATGTTGTCTACTTTCTTGTTTTACATTACACAGCAGATACATTTACTACAAAAAGAACAGCTTATTTTAAATGACTCAGCATGTGTATGACAAATATAGTGTATTTTAAGTGTGTTTGTCAGGAGGTTAAACTGCAGTAGCTGCTTCCTGTTCCCTCTCTCCTCCTCCTTGTTTTGTTGGACTGAACCCTGACTCCACATGGCTCTGGGTTGGGTTTAGTGCAGCTGTGCGGCTGCCTCTCTTATCCAAGCTTTAGCAGTGATGCAATGTTTCCAGATGTGGAACAAGAAAGACTACTTTATTAGTCTGGGCTAAGGAACAACATCCGTTATCCGCAAGACATATATAAAATTACAATAAGTAGGCTAAATAATAACCTCATAATAGTTATGTAGAAGCTTAAAGGCCAATCGTTTTTAAATGCTTTTCTACTGTATGGTTTTCTGGTGTCATCAATAGTCCTAAAATATCACTTTTATTGTTTTTCACATCTGTAAACTTATATGATTTTACAACAGGACTTAATATTGGGTAAATATATATTTGTATGTGCATGCTAGGATCTCTGAGAGTGTGCATTAAGTGAAACCAAATAGCACACTTGGGGTCAGAATTTGGATTATATAAGCCTTTTTGCCAACTATGTGTATTTCCTACACTACAGATTACATAATGAGCTTCCTATTAAATATTTAATTATAAAAACATTTTTTTAATCAGCAGACACTTGGGTCCAAAGTGTAGTAATATTTATTTCTGTTCCTTTTGTTTAATGTACTAGGCTTCTATGAGGCAACCAATGATGATTAAAACCGACATTTACTGATTATCGATCTCCTCCTCCTCTGAGTTTGCAGACAGGATGAAGGCGCCTCCTGCTGGATGAACGCTGATATTCAAATAATCTGTTTTCCTGTGTGGAAATCTCAGGACAGCCTATCTGGCTTTTGCATTATTCACACACACACACACACACACACACACACACACACACACGTACAATTAACCAGTTAAAAATAACGACTAATGATTATAAGGATCTTGGGTGGGGATGTTTTTTTAATTGAACAGAACACTTAAAGCACCATCATAAAGTAGTTTAATCAAGCACTCTTATGGGTCCCCGGCTGAATTTAAATGCTTTTAATTACACTTGATATAATATAATTTAAATTAGATTCCCCTAGCAACAGCCCTTTGTATGTTTTTACTTAATTTAATTGTTATGGCTTTTAATTGTGGCACACTTGACTGGTGTAATTTTTCATGGTTTTTGTATTGTGAGCAAACCTTGTTTTACTTTTTTTGTTATATTAATATCATTGTTACACGTTAGGCTGCATTATCGCATGAAAGGTACTATACAAATAAAGTTATTAATATAATTGGTATGAATCAATATTGTTGATATTGTCAGATTTTCAAGTGCATTTTCATACATATTTTATTCAATCAGAAGATAAATAAACACATGTTGGGGGAAAAAACACAGAAGTATCTTCATTATTTCATTTTAATTTCTGATCTGTACAATTATCATAAAATTCCAAAAGCATGGATATTATATACAGGCGAGGATTGTGGCGGCAGATCTTGGGTCCAAATACTGTTATAAGACAGATTCATTGCACATTTTAGAATACATATTTAATAATATAAAACACCACAAAATCCACAAATAAAAGTATAAACCGTGTCCAAAATATCCTGCATGATGATAAACAGTGTGCTCTCCCTTCAGGTGTACACACTCAAAAAAAGAGTTTCCTGTTGGGCGATTAATGAATGAACTCTGTAGGATCTGGACTTTGATTTGCTGCCTCCGTGTCGTCAAACCCGATTGGCTGATGAGTCGGTGAAAGCGCGAGAGGACAGAGCTGATTGGCTGCTCAGGTGCTCTTGTTGGTGAGGCACTGGTTGACCACCTCCAGCAGAGAGGAGTTCTCCAACGCTGCTGCCACTCTCTCTTTGTCCGCCAGCTGCTTGTTCACTGCAGGACATCAGGAAAAAGACACATCAGACAATAAAGTCATAACACTGGAGATATTGTCTAATAACTCATTTTTTATTTATTGTCTGGGATTATATTCACCTTATTATTTGATTTACCTATTAAACTGGATTTATTGAGCCAGGTAGCTAAAGTATGGCCTTGCTGTCCTTTAATATGCACTGGGTTTTGTTTTACTTATACTACCTTAAAGTAATTCATTCTCATTTTGAGCAAAGTACACGTACAGTATGAACAAACCAAGTCAATAAATAAAAAGTAAGTGTTTTCACCCCAAAGCTTTTTCTGTTATTGCGTTTATAGATAACGTTTATCCATAATGTTTGCTGATATGATGTGATGCCGTGTTACAACCATCTCTGCTTTTGTTTGGTAACAAATTGAGTGAGAAATGTACTTCTTCCTTCTCTCTGTCTGTACCTGTGTACTCTCATGTTCCGAATAACCCAGCTTCCCCCAAATTTCTTTTTGGTGTCTATCTACACCAGGATCCTGAGTCGTGATCTGAGTCCTGGATCCTGAGTCCTGGATCCTGAGTCATGGCTGATCCTGAGTCCTGAGTCCTGATCTGAGTCCTGGATTTCGAGTCGTGGCTGAACCTGTCTCTGTGGTCCTGCCTGACTCTCATCATACTGCTTCCCTGATGGCTCCCACAGGATTGTTGACATCCTCGTGGATTCATCTTCTTATTATAGACACATGCATTTCCAAACATTTGGTCTACCTATGCTGTAAATGTATTATCTTTTCAATTTACACACGGCATCTATTGCACGTCTGTCCGTCCTGGGAGAGGGATCCCTCCTCTGTTGCTCTCCCTGAGGTTTCTCCCATTTTCCCCTTTAAACTGTGGAGTTTTTCCTTTTTTGAAAGTGTTTCCTTGTACGATGTGAGGGTCTAAGGACAGAGGGTGTCGTATTGTCATACTGATATTCTGTACAAACTGTGAAGTCTACTGAAACAAATGTAACATTTGTGATATTGGGCTATATAAATAAACATTGATTGATTGATTGAAACTACATTCCTTAACTGAAGAAAGTGGCTTTATTTAGTAAGAAAAGGCTAAAAAGCCACGTCATATCCCATCATGCCTGCTGTCTCTGGGTAAAATGTACCTGCTTCCTCTGAGGCGTGCGTCCCGGGTGTAATGCTGACATCAATCTGAGAAGAAACATAAAAACACACAAGGTTTGGACTGGAAAATTAAAACAAAACAATAAAAACCCATATTGTATGACATGTTGTTTATGTAAGCTACGACTGAATCAAAGGAGGGGGAGGTAAATGTGCATCCTAGTACCTACACACACACACACACACACACAAACACACACGTACTTTGAACCGTTCGGGCAAGGAGCGTAGCAGCTTCACTTTGATTGACAGACCGATGAGCGTTGCCATGCTGCAGTGGGGGATTGTGGGAGTGAACTGGACGTCCACACTGCTCTCTGCATCATTAACCTGAGACAAAAACAAGCAGGTAGAAAATGACTTCAGAAACAACATACTAAACATATGACATGTCCTTTTAATTGTTAAGGAAGTAGGTAGTAGTAGTAGCAGTAGTTAACCCTTTTTGCAGTGAAGAATGACGTATCTGAAATGTGTCTTTTGTCTTCACTAAATTAGATTATCTTGCTTTTCGGCCGTTCACCCTCGAGTTAACCATAAAAAACCCACCAAAAAACCCATCTAAAGACGCCTACCTTTACTCGGACTTGCTCCAACACATTGAGTTCCTCCAGAGACAGAGGATGCTCCGGGTCGTTGATGGATCGGATCAGATGTAGCTTTAGTTAAAGAATTCAAAACAACACGATAAAAACACACACTCTGCGTTCGGGTGTTGGACCGTAATAGAGTCATTATGTTATTATTTCACTGTATTATGGAAGACTGTAATAATATCACTGTGTCTATGTATTATTAAAGCATGAATGAAATGTCTGAAAAAACTAGATTAGGGTAATGATGGAATTTTCAAATTGTTGATTACTTCTGGTGGTCAAATGATCAGGTTAATATTGTTAAACAAAACTTATTTTCAAAAAAGGTATACAAACATGGCTTACGATGTAGTACATTATACTAGACATGATATGCAGTGAGGAAGTACATTACATAAGACATTTTTAGGTACTTTAACCTCTATTTCGGTTCCTTTTTCTGCTCCATTATACTTCTATTCTCTTACATTTTTACTCTGCTAGTCATTTGCAATTTTTTACTTTAAAGATTCAAATCAATGATAATAATATAATCAACAAATAAATAATGATATAATACTGTATATTAGTCAGAGTTGAATGATTCCCCGGGGGAAACTCACAAGCTTCCTAGCTGTATATATAACCAAATATATATGCAATTTAAATATATAATTTAACATAAGCTAGCTGCAGAATTAAAGTTATGTACACACTTGTTATAATAATAACCAAATAATATAATAGGAACAATTCCGAAATGGGTCATACTGCATGATGACTACTTTATGTACTTAATTGATCTATTATTTATATTTAAATAAATGTGTTTGCATCTTAATAATACTTAAATGAAATATAGTAATTCCACCACTTTGACACACTTTACGTTACTTACAATATTGCACTTTTCCCTGTAGCGATCATCCTAGAAATGATGCAACAGCTAATACAACATTATATACAAAGACATGTGACTTATCTCTAAAGTCTGATTTGATAATGCAATTTAAATAGCACATGTGCAATCTGTCAGGTGTGAAACCAGTCTGAACCAGAGCAGAATTTAAACAGGATATCGAAGATCTCTCTATCGTCGATGGGATCATGGACGTCTTCATCCGCGTCTGTGTCCGCCAGAAGCCTCTCTCCGGACCGCTGGAAGATCACCGGGTTAGCGTTCTCCAGAGTGGTTCCTCCAGACATTTTGAGAGGTTATTTTAGTCCACGGTAAACAGTGAATATGTTGAGGAGAAGCAGCGGCGCAGGGAAACAACAACACACTGCAGCAGCACACTTCCGGAAACTACGGAAAGCGATAAGGTCCGAAAGCGCGAGAGAGAAAGTCTTAAAGTGACAGTGCACCGAACACCCTTCACGAAATAAATACAATAAAATAATAAATATAGTTCAAACAAAGAATTACTTCGATCCTTAACTTAAAAAAGTAGAAATACAATACAAAAAAATACCCCATTATCAAGTAAAAGTCCTACATTCTGAAGCCATTTTTAGATACTTTCTACATTTTAGCATACAGTATATTGCTAGAAAAGTGCTTTGCATCAAATTATCTAAGTGTATTATGTATGTACTGTATGTACTTATACGGAGAGAGTGAATTGTATTTATTGGGCTGGCACCCACTGTGTAACTGCTTCCTTTCCTTTTCCTATTTTTACATTTCTCTCTTTTTTCTGACATGCCTTTTTGTGTCAAATTGTTTAGTCAATGTGATGTCTTGAACGAATGCTAAACCTTTTGGTTTAAAATGTCCCTTTAATGTCTGGTTGTGACTTCCTGTTTGTCCTGCAGATGGCAGAACCTGATTATTTTATCCCTCAGCAGCAACACCATATACAGTAAAGTTTAGTCTAGTCTGCAGTATGCTGAAAATAAACTAATAATAAATGCTAACCTTCACTCCCAGATCCCAGAAGTTCAAGCTCAGACATAATAATGATATCATTAACAAGTAAAGGCTTCGCTGTTGCACACCAGCCACAATCACAATTCCTAATTTTAAACACATTCCCATTGGCCCTTTTTCTCGTCTTCACTATAACAATAAACCAGGTACATTAAAGCCTTGAAAGCGAGTGGAGTAAACCCCCCATTGATTTGTCTGGTTCAACCAAAAGTAGATGGATTTGCTGTCGATGTAAAAACGTTCTGGTATTTTCTGTCCACATTCAAAGCTCAATTGGTGTCCACAACAGACAATAACAACTTTATATTGAGGCATTCAACAGACAAGACAGCTTGGGAAATAGACAGAAAGCACAGCTGTACATGTTAAGCATTTTAAAATACATGAATCAAAAATAATAATCCGCAAAAAAACACCTTTTTAGCAAAAATTGAATATTTTGTACTTCAGTAACAAGATCACCACCCATGCTGATTTTTACTGATGCATAATTTTAATGAGCTGCTGGAGATCTGCTGCTGGTCGATATGAAATCTTCATCTCAACATGTTCACCTTTTCAAAAAATGTGCATGCCATATAATGAGGCTGCATATGGCTGCTGACACCTACATGGCAGTCTGTAATGTAAATGTCATGCAGAAGGGTAGCAGCCGAGGAAAGGGCAACCTGTTTCCCTAATTGTTGCAATTTGGACGGGCAACCTTAAGATTCACAATCCCATTTTACTGTGCTATGAAAGATGGCTTTTATACAAGATAACATCATGTGAAAATATGCTTATTGTAGTCAAATGATTTGAGCTAGGATGGTGTGTTTCTCCTATCTCTTGACTGTTTGAAGGATTTCAGTTATTATTTATAACGTCATGTGGTACCAATTGATCCTTATGCATTTTGATACGACACTGTACAATTTTAAGAAATATGTCCCCATGCTGCAGAAAAGACACAAACAAGATCCTCAGATAAATGCTGAGCACAGCCAGAATAACAAACCAGATTTTTCTGCAGCACACAGTCAAGAGTCCTGGTGAGCGTTTCATAGTTTGACATTGCGTCCTCCTGAGGAAAAACAATGTGATCACCAGTTTCAAGTCAAAACATTTGTGGAAAATGAACAATGTTTGTGTCTAGTGAGAGAGGGATTGCTTCAACAAAACATGCATTTCAACTAGTCTTTAGTATTCCTAACAGCTGACTGTGTGTGGAGACTGTCCTGCAGCTGTCATGCTCTGTGTGTGTTAGATAATTAATTCTGGATGTTCTAAGTGTTCAGCACACAGTGGAGCCCCTATGTATATAGAACCACATCTTTATCTTCAAATATGGGCCCCGAGCTGTACACCTGATGTCCATTTATATGTTCATTTCCTTCTAGGGCTCATATGTTAACTGTGCATGCATGACTGTTGCTCCTGCTAGATTTGTACTTTTTGTACTTTTGAGCTTTCTTAATTCGATCTAAACTGTTATTTTTCTGTTTACAACTTCTATAAGTAACTTGTTATGCTCTGCCCTCTATACATTTTTTGTAGAGAGCGATAGTGACATCACTATGTAACACCCGTGCTTCTATTGGCTAGCGCTCAAACACATTCTGCGTGATAGGCTAAGGGGCAGGACTTCTCTAAGCAGTTGACCAATCAAATAAAATCTAGTTTTATTTAGAGAGCACATTTAAAAAAGATTTTTGGTCTAGCCAAAGTGCTGTATATGTAATAAAAGCACACTACAATAACAGAAAGAAAAGACAAGAATTTACAACAGAAATATAAAAACAAAACACAGGGAAATGTCAGGTGTCATACTCAGCTCTGACTAGAAGGCCAGAGAGAAAAAGTGTGTCTTCAGTAAAGATTTAAAAACCCCTAGGGCCTGGGCCGACCTCACATGTAGGGGCAGACTGTTCCAGAGCCTAGGGCCAGCTTTGACCAATCACATCAGAGCCGACCTGCTAACCAATCAGAGCAGACTGGGCTCTGGTTTCAGACAGAGGGTGAAAAGAGGTGCTGCAGCACAGGCAGTATGAGAAAAATAAAGAGCTTTTTGAACATTAAAGCATGGAGACATGTCCCAGTAGAGACACTAAATACTGATATGATCCTGAAAATGAGCATAATGTGTCTCTCTAAGAAACTGTTTACTGTTGTGGTATTTTGTAAATAAACATACTAAAGTTCATCACGTCTCATAACTTATTTCCGACTGTTGTGGCAGATGAATTAACCCCCTTTCATCAGGGGGGTCTGTGGGACATTTATTACCTTACAGCCATGTTCACAATATAACACAGGTGTTTTTTGTCCCTAATGTTCAGGTAACCTTACCAAGCAATCGTAGAAAGAGCAAGAACAGATGCATACAACACCTGGGTGTAAATAGCTACAGTGCTTAAGATAAGAAGTGCCTTTATACATCCACCCTAGGGGAATTACAATTTGACACAGCAGCACAAGGGAATGAAGTTATCAAAGAAATATTTTCATAAATATCTATACATCCAAAACAGAATCTAATGTGTAGCCCGGGTGTAAATAGCATTGTTAGCTACGGACACCCAGGGTTGCCAACTCTCACGCTGCCCAAACAATTCTCACGCCAAAAACAAGATGAACCGGCGATCGTTTTTGGTTGGTTATTTACAATGTTGAGTTGACAGCTGCCAAAGCTGTCGATCCGCCCCCACCACTCTTAACAACGTTAACAGACAGCAGAGCAGTGGGAGCCGGTTGGTCAATCCCCGACCCGTATTGCGCATGCGCAGATCTAAGATCCAGTAGAAATTATACAAAAGTAAAAGTCTGCTACTTATTGTTCTACTAGGCCAAAATAGAGTCAAAGAGTATATGAGAGTGAGAGTGTGTTAATTAGCTACATTTTGACGTAGCATTTTTCCCATTGAAATGAATGGGGTTCTTCAGTTAGCAGCTAACGCTAAGCTAAGCGACGGTTTAGCTCATTAGATAAATAGATATACTTTATTTAAATAATTATTTATCTTAAACTGGGAAATGATTGTGTCACAGCAGAAGTGTTTTCAGGCGTTACACGAGTTAAACATATTTAAAAGATACAATAAGATATAACAAGTATACACACAGGACACATATCACTAGAGTATCTAAAGAATACACAATATACAGAAAATACTGTATACATGGAGTACATTAAACAGTCTCACTAGCTAATGTTTGCTTTCTGTGTTAACTTGGTGATAGTTAATGACACAGATAGCGTTATATCCGTGGTTCAAACAGCCATTAATGTCACTTTCTATGTGAATAAAGTCATTTTAATGAAATAAAAGTGAACAAACTGTGAGCTGTAAATTAGAATGTAAATTGCTACACAGATTATGATGAATTATATCTAAATGTTTGTATTATATTAATAATAATTTACACAGAAAACCAACTTTTTATCGTAATGGTTAATTGGTTGTCATGTAACATTAATAACCATCTGACCTTTCTATCATTTTCTCCTCTGCTTAGCATCACATTGACTAAATGGATCAATTTGGAACATGTTTACGTCACAGCAGCATAGATAAGACAAGGCACTGCACATGATGTGATAAAACACTACATATAAGCATCTAGAAATAGAACATACCATTGAATAAACTCTTTGAATTCCTCCTCTTCACTCCTGACAGTTTTCCACCTGAAGCAGCTCTGTGGTCTTCATCAGGACCCAGTGTTCCCAGAGAGGACCTGAAGCAGCTCTGTGGTCTTCATCAGGACCCAGTGTTCCCAGAGAGGACCTGAAGCAGCTCTGTGGTCTTCATCAGGACCCAGTGTTCCCAGAGAGGACCTGAAGCAGCTCTGTGGTGAGAGATTCTGGGAAAACTTCTCAGTGTTTCCAGCTTAAAAGGTGTGTGTGTGTGTGTGTGTGTGTGTGTGTGTGTGTGTGTGTGTGTGTGTGTGTGTGTGTGTGTGTGTGTGTGTGTGTGTGTGTGTGTGTGTGTGTGTGTGTGTGTGTGTGTGTATACTCATAAGTTATATGCATACCGCAGGGGCGTCGCCTGGGCCTGAAAACATTCGGGGCTTAGCCCACAGTGGCGGCGGCACTAGTGGCATTTTTTACTGCAACACTCCCCACACGCACACACACAGTACACCCGCGACTGTTACAATAAAGGCTCGATAATCAGCTCACGGCATATAGGCAGGGGTAAAGTGGTATTTTTTATGAGTGGGGGGCAGACCTCACCTCCTCTAGGGGGGGTCCGGGGGGATGCTCCCCCGGGAAGATTTTTTTTTAAATATTGAAGTTAAAAGCATCAATCTGGTGCACTTTGAGAGCAAAATGAAGAGATCTATGGATACCTCTCTCAACACCCATATGAAACAGAACTGTAAACAGATGTACTTTTTCTTTATGGATATTTTACTAATCACTCCCCTTTTAAACTCTATTCTTGTTTTACTGCCATATAGTATTTCATAACTGTTTTTCCTTTATTCTCTTATTTTTTTTATAACTATAATGATCATATGAAGGTGTGCCGCGGAAATAATCTTTTGAATAATTTGTGACCAAACAGTTTGAGACCCACTGAGATAACTTAGACTAAAGTTAAGTATCTAAACACTCAGAGAGTCCTTTAGCTCACCTGAGTCTCTCAGTCTGAGAGGAGAGGACTCTCCTCCAGCTTGTTGTGGAACAAACAGCTCCTTATGTCCGTTAGTGCAGCTAGCTAACCAGATGCTAACAACAGGTCCCTGCTGGCAGCGGTCCCTCCCTCCCTCCCCCTCTCTCCCTCTCTCTCTCTCTCTATCACACTAAATGCGCTATTGCCACACACACACAGAGCCGAGCTTGAATGACACAAGCACACGTTTATTTCCATGCAACTCTCTGATTGGTCTGGTGTCATGCCTCTGTTGCATTCACTGAACACGGGAAATTACAGTGTTGCCGTCCTCTCTTGTGTCATGATGAGGTTCACGTAAAGCACGGTTAATGTATTATATTATTGAGGGAGAATTGTCCGGGGCTACAGAAAAAACATTCGGGGCTAAAGCCCCGGATGCCCAGGCCAGGCGACGCCACTGGCATACCGTTTAGTTTGAGTAAACGCTCCCTTTTTACCTTCAGCATATTGTTTTAGTACGGTAACTCTTCTTTATTACCGTTAGCATACTGGTTTCTGTTAGGTAACTCCTTTATGTTACAGGATGAATGCTCAGTGTATTGACTTGTTGTTTCTAGTCTCCTCCTGACTGACAGAGTCCTGGAGCTGTGAATTTCTCCTCTTCAGAGAAGCAGCTTTATTTAGTGGGAATGCTGATACGGCATTCCAACTATATGTTATGCCACGGACAAAAAGTTTATTATTCCGCCGACTTATTTTGGACCTCTTCTCCTCCCACATTCAACATCGCAGAAACTCCGTTCAAACATCAAAACGTTCAGCTTGGTCGGGAATCGCAGGCTATTACTTTTATCATTCATAACTTTCATAATTCCAGAGATACATCCCATAATTCATCACATTTTTAACATTTTAACTTTAACATTGCGCAGCTCGTTAAGGCAGAGTGCGTGATGTCACAGCTAGAGGGTAGGAAATCTTGAAATTTGCCTTCATATATTTTTTTAAAACTGCCATAATTCCCGAACCCTACATTCTTGAGACATAATTTTTCATGACAAACGTAGGAAAACATCTCGTAGCTTGAAAGATGACAAATAATTAAGCAAAATAATTAAACAAAATGCCTCTTGAGGGCATGAAGTGACAAAAACGTTCAACATGTCTCCATTAAAACCCATTGTAATTTCAGGCTGATATTTCCTCACAGCAGCAGCCGCACACCTTTAGTTAAACTGCCAAAAAGGCCACATTATTAACCCGAAAGTACACAAAAATTACACTTCAGATACTCAACTTCCTTGACATGCTTCACGTTTTGAAATTTCACAGATATCTGTTATCGTTCTTCCACAAAACGTTCACATGTAAGAGGTTCATCTCTCATTCAGAACAATGCAAACCTTTGATCTCTACAGAGCTCGTTAGCTCAACTATAAACACCTGTGTAATGGAACACGATGATGTCATCACTCCAACTGACAGCAGTCAGTTCTAACTGTTCATTTCATACACACACTCTCTCTCTCTCTCTCTACCACACACAGACACACACACACTCTCTCTCTCTCTCTCTCACACACAATGTTCCAAACGGCCCAAAACTTCACAGGTTTGGTAACGATGCAGCCATCAACGCATCTAAGCGTAGTATGGGGTGTCATCAAATGCCGTTGCCATGGCGACAGACCACTCGCCATGAAACACGATGTCGCTGTAAGTCCAATGGACACGGTCCAATCGTCCCCAATCTTCACTTGTATATCACCGGTCCATGCCTCAACAGCTCTACGCCAAATCTGAAATCTCACCATATGCCGTTTCCATGGTGTTTCCCTCGCCATAAAACACGATGTCCCTTTAACTCCTATGAAAATGTTCAAAAAGTGCTCAAAATTCACATGTGTGCTAACAGTCCAGCCGTGAAGACATCTACGAGACAGTTTTGAGATTTCTTCAAATGCCGTTGCCATGGCAACACAATGCTCGCCATGAAACACGGTTTTCTCATAACTTCAGTGAAAATGCTTCAAACGGCCCAAAACTTCACAGGTTTGGTAACGATGCAGCCATCAACGCATCTAACCGTATTATGGGGTGTCATCAAATGCCGTTGCCATGGCGACAGACCACTCGCCATGAAGCACGATGTCGCTGTAAGTCCAATGGACACGGTCCGATCGTCCCCCAAACTTCACTTGTATATCACCGGTCCAGCCCTCAACAGCTCGACGTCAGTTATGGGGTGTCTTCAAATGCCGTTGCCATGGCAACACAATGCTCGCCATGAAACAGGGTTTTCTCATAACTTCAGTGAAAATGCTCCAAACGGCCCAAAACTTCACAGGTTTGGTAACGATGCAGCCATCAACGCATCTAACCGTATTATGGGGTGTCATCAAATGCCGTTGCCATGGCGACAGACCACTCGCCATGAAGCACGATGTCACTGTAAGTCCAATGGACACGGTCCGATCGTCCTCCAAACTTCGCTTGTATATCACCGGTACAGCCCTCAACAGCTCTACGTAAATTATGGGGTGTCATCATCATATGCCGAACACGATGATGTCATAACTCCAACTGACAAATATTCTGCTGCTTTTTCATGCATTTACAAGTTTATTTTCTTGTTCTTATTTCACATTCAAGTCCCCTCTATTCATGAACCCTTTAAAGTAGTCAGCCACGCCAATTATATACCAGGTGCGACTGTGACTTCATCTTTCAAATACAAGGTTGCTTGTTTGATTCAAGCTCTTGTAGTCAATATGTCAAGGTATTTATTCCCTAACATTTTCTCATCTAACTAATAACGCACACTCAGGGGATCTTTATAAACGTTATAAGTATTGGACATCTTTAAACATCACTCTTATAACTCACTTTTAAAACTAGCGATGCGCTACAGTGTCAGCTTTTCTAAAATAGAAACTTCAATGTTCACATCTTTCAAAATTATTCTACTTTTCAATGACCTACAAATAATCCTAATCTTCCAACTGCTCATATTTTTTTGTAAATTAACAAACCGGTTAGAAATGTGTTGTTCAACACATTTGAGCCTTTGCCACATTTATTTGAATTATTTGTTATCATTCCTACATAATGGGGAAGCTTCTCACTCTATGTAATGTACATACAAGTATTTGACAAGAAAATATGTGAATTTATCAATATTTCATGTCAATCCCTGGTTTTTCACTGTAGTTTATTGCAGATACACATCATTGCAGGCTGCTTTAACTGCAGTTCAAGGCTGTTTCTGCATGTCAGTCTTTATGCATGACGGTGTTTTTGATAATGGATCCTGACCACTCACATTTGTACACTGTGGAGTTAAACAAATTATATTATTAAACAAATATATATAACATAAATACAAAAAATACTCAAATTTAGTCTCTTTTCCAGCGCTCTTCATCGGTAACTTTAGCATTTCTGAGTGTCCTTGAACGCATCAATAATAGCAGATGCGTCACACCAAGCCCGGGAGAATCATTCTGCTCTGACTCCTGCGAGGTAAGTTCATATCTCCATAAACACCTGAACTTTAAAGTGTCAAATGAACTCTTTTTAAAAGTATAACACACCGTTTGAGTTTGTTCATAGACTGTTTACTGGCGTGAGAACTGATATTAATTTACAGATTAAAGGATACAGCTTCTGAGCAGCGTATCCAGTCTTAGCCCTAACGTGCTAACGTTAGCACACTGCGCTAACGGGAAAAGTGCCACGCTTGTCATGTTGTTTATAGCAGCTAACTGCAGTATGACTACTCCTGTTTAGTTACCAAAGGATGCTAACAGCTAGTTATTAATGCTAACTTCAGCCTTTAATTAAACATGTAACTCTTGTGCTGCAGTGCTTGTGTTGTAGTGGTACTTGTGGGTTATCTGTTGCCACTTTTGTGTTTTTTTGCATACTTTCCAAATATGCAAAATGAATCTTTGGGACCTGTATTAGCAGCGACGAACAAGCAGTGATGTTAAGTAATTCACTATATTTAATCATGCACTGTACTTAAAGTGGACCTATCATGCTATATTTAAATGATATATTGTAGGGCCATACCTATATAAGGTATATTTATACGTTTCTGTTTTCAAAATACCAAACAGATCATGCATTTTAGCCATGCCTCATTTCGCTCTATGTGCTGTTTGCTGTCTACGGGGCTGATCTCTGTGAGCTGCAGCTGACCACACCCCCCTGCAGGAGAGGGAAGCCGTGCTCTGATCAAGTCAAGAGGGGGAGAAAAAAAGATCTCCGTGTTTTATTTATATATACAGTCTATGGTTTTATTATATTATTATAGGCCTATAGAGTCGTTATTCATTTGTTTTAAAGCTCAATAAATAACAAAGAAGACCTTTGACCGGCACTTTTCTAATTTTTTCCGGAAGATTTAAACTTTAACGGACATCTTGACCCGCGAAAGAAACTGAAACTGAAACTCTGCCGCACGGTCCCCTCGTTCCTTGGAAGAGGCGGAGAGGTGGGTGTTTGTCATCTGCTGGTGGACTAACCGGAGAGAATTACAGTGCTTGCCTCGACGGGGAGGGATTGCATTGAATTAAAGCAGCGGGAGCAAACGCTTGCCTCGGGGAGGGAGAAAAAAAGCCACAGCGGAGAATAAACAGAAGGGTAACCATGGTAATATGGGCGGGAAGTCTTCTTCGCTGCTTTTGTGGCAGACTACAGCGCCACTTACAGGCCTGGCATATGTACTACAGCGTCTCCAGCGCTTTCGAGCGGTAATGGCCGGCCGTGGCCCAACCCCACATTCCCCTGATAGGTGGAGAGTTGGCCCAATAGCCGTAGCGCCACCGTCCTGACGTCAGGACAGTGTTCAAATCTGGATCAGTTTGTATCAGATCCGTTGCAGCCCCTTTTTTAGAGATTTGGGTATGGAGGAAAATAGAGAGGGTTGTGTTTTCTGACACTTGGTGAGTTCCCTGGAACACCGGGGACACATATTCATGTATAAAAGACGTACACAAGTGCATTTTGCATGATAGGTCCCCTTTAAGTACAACATTGAGTATGGGCTCAGAACAGTCTCATAATACACACATGCACACAGAAGGATTCACACTTGTATTTCATGATCCGCAAAAGGATTCACACTTGTATTTCATGATCCACACTTGTGTTTGTCAATGCACACACAAATGTGTTCCGTTTCATATACATGTAAATAAAATCCAAATACAGAAAAAAGTTTTACATATGTATTTTTGATCCTCACATATTTGTTTTCCGTTTAAAACCTCTGAACCTGCAAACACAAACCGCTTTCTGTGCATGGATCGCTGTGCATTCGTGTGTGGGTTTTTTTAGACTCCCCTGACGGTCACCCGATTCGTACTTGTAATTTTTTCTATCTATAGCCAATCAGATGTCTCCTTCATTCTAAGCCAATCACATGAGGGTATGATTTCTTGCGTTCATGACGTAGCACTTCATATACGCATTTTGCGCTGTCCGGAGCTGACAGGTCCATGGAGCCTGCAGGCGCTAATCTCAGGACCGTAGCATAGTCGTCTTTATTTTTACGGTATTATTATTCAAAGATAAATAAGGAAGTGTGTGTTATATGAGATGGCAGAGAGGTTTCAGCTCCGATTATTAAATCAAAGAGGCTTAATGTTTTCAATTATATTATTTCACTATAGCTATGTGGACGGTGTCAAGGTCCAATGTTGACAAAATTAATCAATAGCGGGTGTAACTAAAATACAAGATGTTTTTATTTATATATATATTTTATTTGCGTGCATTACCTGTTCGGAAAGTGGCGCTGTACTGAGAGTGGCGATTTTATTTAGTAATTATATAATTATATAATACTTGTAATAATGGTGCGTTCACACCGGACGCGATGCGAATAATCGCTCGAGTTTCTTGCTGGCTGTCAGCTGTTTACTCGCCTCATTCATCTGAGTCAGCTTCTCGAGCCGTATCTGGCCGTGCAACACTTATACTGTATGCCGAAGCAGTGGCGGACTGGCCATCGGGACGTACCGAGGTGGGCCGGTCGGGCCACTCCGATCGGCCCACCTCGGTACCGGCAGGGGCGGACTGGCCATCTGAAGTTGCTTTGACAGGCAACAGAGGTCCACCGTTTCCCCGCAGCGAGGCTCCCCCCGTTGACAGTTCCCTGTCTAGCACCCACGGGAAGTGGCGCTGTACCTTAATAATATAAAAGCTTGTATTTGCGTGCATTTCTTGTTCGGAAAGTGGCAATGTACTGAGAGTGGAGGTGTCCTGAGATTAGCGCCTGTAGGCAGGCTCCATGGACAGCGCAAAATGCGTACATGAAGCGCTACGTCATAAACGCAAGAAATCATACCCTCGTGGGGGCGCGCTCATGTGATTGGCTTAGAATTGAGGAGACATCTGATTGGCTATAGATAGAAAAAATTACAAGTACGAATCGGGTGACCGTCAGGGGAGTCTCAAAAAACCCACACACGAATGCACAGCGATCCATGCACAGAAAGCGGTTTGTGTTTGCAGGTTCAGAGGTTTTAAACGGAAAACAAATATGTAAGGATCAAAAATACACAAATACACATGTAAAACTTTTTTCTGTATTTGGATTTTATTTACATGTATATGAAACGGAACACATTTGTGTGTGCATTGAAAAACACAAGTGTGGATCCGGAAATACAAGTGTGAATCCTTTTGCAGATCATGAAATACAAGTGTGAATCCTTCTGTGTGCATGTGTGTATTATGAGACTGTTCTGAGCCCATATTGAGTGACTTTTACCTTACTTAACTATTTAAATAATTTGCTACTTTGTTCTTCTACCCCACTACAATTCAAAGGTTAATAGTGTACTTGCATCACCTATTTAACTCTTACGGACCGTCTCCACAGCAGCGTTAAAAAAATCTTGGAGGTGGGCGTATCTGAGGCTTGGGGATTTTTTTGCGATCAACCAATCACATGAATCTCCCGCCCGCGACATACGAAGCCAAAAAGCCGAAGTAAACTGGATATAAACTCCCCAAAACAGGCGAAAACATACCACTGTCTCTGCCACCTCCCTCCATGCCTGGCTCCTCCGGTTTATATCCCGGTAGGTCTGGTCATAAAGCACCGGGTGATTGATTCGCTACCGCTAATTTCTCCTCCATTTTTTGGAATATGAGGAAATGACCTGCGGTCTGGCTCTCCCAGCATACACGCTGTTTGATTGGCTAGAGCTTGAACTGCCAGATTTGCGTACACGGGATTTGATTAGCTGCCGCTTCCACCTCAGCTTCAAAAGTTGAACATTGTTCAACTTTGAATCTTGAAAATCCTGAGAATCTCCGCTCGCCTGCCCACAATGCATTCCGGCGAAAAGTGAGGGAAAGTGACGTCACCCCCATTCAAAGTGAATGGGCAGAAGCGTTTCAAAGATTTTTTTAACGCTGCTGTGGAGACGGCCCGTTACAGTCTCTGCAAGTTCATTGTACTGTTGCAGCTGCTAGCCAGCAATAAACTAGATAAGGATACATTTTTTATTTGCAATTAATTTAGGTTTTCTTGACAGATAAAAGCTTAATGAAAACTGTTACTTAAACATGATAAATAGTTGTATTATTGATTAACACATTTGGCTCAAGTGTGCAGTATTACATATTAAATAGCTTGTGTACATTATTGACAGTTAAGGCTAAATACAGGGAGTTGTATCTGCTGTTCAACACATCATTACAGAAATAAAAACATGTAAGACTAACATCTTGCTTCCTCTTATAGACAAGAAGAACACAAAGAATCTGCGGTTGATTGGTGAGTAAAGACAATCGAAAATGAAATGAACAAGTTAGTTCAAAAGTTTGCAGTTAAAATATTCTGCTGCTTTTCCAAGCCTTTTTACTTTCTTTTCTTCACTCATCACACATTCAAGCCCCCAGTGTTCATGTATCATTTCAATCTAAATTCTTCACTTTCTTCTTACACATTATATTTCAGCATAGCAGTTTAGCGTCAGCTTTTCAGCATAAAGCATTCCCACTAGCAATTTCTTCAGGAATTGCATTCTCTAGTTACTGTCTCCTATTGTCGCAGACAAAGTAGCACTACATGGAAATACTCAAGTAAAGTAAAAGTACCTCTAAATAGTACTGAAGTACAGTACTTGAGTAAATGTACTTAGTTACTTTTCACCTCTGCTATGAACCTACGAAGTAGCTGTAGATTAGTTTTGTTGTGTCTGTCGGTTGTATTGAGTTGTCTTGTTTTGTGTCAGCTGTAGTTGGAGCAGCATGGAGGAGAACAAAGAGACCCCTGGAGCTCAGGTCAGTGTGCACTTCATCACAATATATTCCTAATTCCAGCGTTTCTGCCAGGTGGGCGTCTTGCCGTCATTTGACGCCCTTATTCAGCTCGGAACGCCCTGAACTCGAGCCGAGGGCGTCCAAAAGAGTTTTTATCGCTTTAAATGACGAAAAGGAAAAAGGACAAGGACATCCCTCTGTTGGAGGGGCAAAGGAGTCTGGTGGGATTCTTTTCACCGCCAGCAAAGCGTGTTCCTGTGACGGAAAGTGTACTGCCGGCGAGCCTTAGGGGTGCTAGTGGAGCACACGCGTGAACTGCGAGCGCCTGAGCCTCGCAGCGGCGAAATTGAGGCTCTGGTAAACTGTGGTAACATGAAGAGCCGTTTGGGAGCCGAAAGAGCCGGCTCTTCTTAGTGAGCCGAGCCAAATGATCCGACTCACTAAAAAGAGCCGGAATTCCCATCACTAATACGTAAAGAGATAGTATCTATAAGGGACGGCTCAATTCAAAATTCAAGTCCAGGGTTTCCCACACATAGACTTTACTTGGGCCGCCCAGGTTTAACGGCCACCAAAGTATATTTCGCGACCCATTCATTATTTTAATTTTTTTATCCGTCCGCGAGCACGACGCCATCTGCAATCGATTTACTAGTGGACAATGATCCCTCGCTTGCTGTACCTGTTCGCTCTGCTATCGCGTGGAGGGTCTGCTAACAAGCGACCAATAGAAAGGTTCATGTTAATGTTGTTGCACCTCACAAATGCCTAACACTGTTATCCCCAAATGAAAGATCACAACCTGTTTTGAAATATACAATATGAATGCACAATATGGTTAGATATAGGTTAGAACGTTGTTGTATACGATGCGATTCTTTAATTGTCAGATCAAGTCTGAAATGTGACTTGCATCACAGCAGCTCCATGTGTAACATCAACATAGACACATAAGACAAACACAATACATGAGAAACAAACAACAAACATGTAACATAACAGCAGGATCAGTGAGAGCTGCTCAAAGAGCTTTCAGCGTGCATCTGATCTGGATTCAGCTCTGTGTTTACTGAGAGGACTGACTGGAGCACAAAGGATGCTTCAGTCTGACTTTATTCAATCTCCATTAGATGGTAGCAGTTCAGATTCTCTGTTAGAGCATGCTTTGGGTCCCAGATGATGCTGTTGGACAGCCTCTCAGGTTATTATGGTCTGTGAGTCAGAAAGTCTCTGACAGGGTGACCAACAATCTTTGAGCAGATTTCTAACAGGTGGAGCTGAAGTAACAACATACTGATACCGGTTAGTAAAAACCATGAATGAATGCTTTGAAAAGTCTGCAGACAAGACGGCAGGCGAAACACCTTTTTAAAATGCGTGTTTTCTGAATGGAGATCAGCTAAGCTAACGTTGCTCCGACCGTCCACACTCACAACAACGGCCTATACAGACATAAATAAACCGGCGACTGTATTCGCCATGACACAGACAGTCTGTGGTTTGTACTAGGGATGGGAACGATTAATCGAATAATTATTCAGGTATTCGAATATGAGTTATGAATATTTTTTATTAATTTTTTTATTTTTTTTATTTTTTTTTGGTAGGGATGCCTAAGTTGATTACATATTATCAAATTGAATAATTCAATGTATACAACAGTGCCATAGCTAAATGTGTTAGGTGACGTCTAAAGGTGTGTTTTGTTCCGCTCACCGGTCCCTCACAGCGGGCAGAGCTGCAGGTGCTGATCTCTCTCTCTCGCGTCCGGTACTTCACTCGCGTTTATGTCCAAATCCATCAGATCTAGCTAGTTCTAGCTAATGATATGGCTGCTGCCCCTGCCTACACGAAAATCATGCAGACTCAAACCTCATCTTATGCCCAAATGCGGCACAAATGCGCTCCGCAGCCGTTGCGAGGTTCCGGCGCTAACAGTTCATGAGCGTGCTCCCCCGCCCCCTGTCAACACTCGCGACACATGAGTGGCCAGCCTAAACAACAATAAGCACTGCTTGGCAACCGTGTGTGGCGGCAAAGTACATCGACATTTTGACAGGAGAGATTTAGTTTTGTCGGTATTCAACATATTTTACCAGTCATAGTCCGGTAATTATTTACACTCAAGAAGAGTCCTACACAACAGACATGGCGTCAAAAAGGAGTAATGTGTGGAAATATTTCGACCAGGTTAGTGAGTGCGGTGTAGAGTGCAAACTATGCCAAATTAAACTTATATATATACATACTATACCTTGCTATACCCGCAACCTCCGTTCCAGCTGAGAGGGTCTTCTCTACAGCTGGCCTGATTGTGAATCGCCTCCGCACATGAAAGCTGTAGGCCTATAGCTGTCAAACTGTGATCACCAGTTCAATACATTTGACAAATTTGACAAATTCGACTTGGTTTCTTGTTACAAAGTGAGGTGCAGGTGAAAGAACGATACGTGGAAAGAGGGTTTTCTTGCAAAAATAGACAGGCATTTTATTCTCAGCCTTCCACATTATTCCACAGAAACAAAAACTGCATGCCTGGTGCTGCGTTCACCAGCAAGGAACAAACACCAAAATGTCCTCCCCTCTCTTCCCAACCACATTTATAGGAGACTGCCCGCCTTCCCAATCCAACCTGGCCAATCAGGTCATGGTTCTGAAAGCGGACTGAAGGGTTAAATACAAAATTAAACACTGTGGTCTACATTTAATACAATCCTAAAGGCTTAAGTAAATTCATAATTGCATCAACATAAACATTGTACCTTCAGAAACAACAAGTTCTGCTTAAAACGGATAGTTTTGAACCTAATTGACACTCATAAAATCACTCATTTCCTGACCAATCACGTCCAAGACTCCGCCTACTCATACGGCACACATAAGGAGTACTTTGGAGGCGTGCTCCCCCTTTGAGCAGTGACACAAAATGGCTTCCAGGTCTGAACAAAGGAAATGGTGATTACTTTGTGATTGTGTGTTTTACAGACTGACAAATTAATCTAGATGCCCTTTACTAGTTTTTCTATGTAAACTGTTTTTATAACTTTAACTGAAATAAAGACAACTCTGAAGAAACATGTACTACCTTTCTTAACAAACAAATTGTTAAGCCAAAATGTTAGTGAGGGAGTGTGTGCGCTTCATCACATTTCACACCTCCTCCCCCTCTGGCTTGCACAGGTCAGGCAAGCGAGAAAGATAGTCAGCTATTAGGTTATTCTTACCGGGACAATACTGTATGGTGAAGTGGTATGGCTGGAGGGCTAGGCACCAACGTAGAATCCTTGCATTCTGATGCTGCTTAGATTGCATCCACTTCAACGGTTTGTGGTCTGTCTGCAACACAAACTCTCTTCCAAGAAGGTAATACTTCAATGAATCTATAGCCCACTTTATAGCCAGTCCCTCTTTCTCCACGGTAGAGTATTTTTTTTCCCGGTCAAACAACTTCTTACTCAGGAACAGTATAGGCTTCTCTTCGCCAGGCTCTCCTTGGGCTAGCACTGCTCCTAGTCCAACACCAGAGGCATCAACTTGCACAAGAAATTGTTTTGTGAAGTCCGGGCTCTGCAACACAGGAGCTTGACAGATCTGCCTCTTTAATGCCTGGAAGGCATTTTCACACTCATCATTCCACACAACTTTTGTGGGAGATTTTTTTGTTAGATCAGTAAGTGGGGCAGCTAATGTAGCAAAGTGGGGAACAAACCTTCTGTACCACCCCACCAGGCCTAAAAAGGACCTCACTTGCTTCTTTGTCTGGGGTCTGGGTATTACCTGTATGGCTTTTATCTTCTCAACTTGTGGTCGTATTTGCCCACGTCCAACCAGGTATCCAAGGTATTTTACCTCCTCTTGAGCCCAGGAACACTTGTTGGCATTCAGGGTTAGCCCGGCTTCCTGTATCTTGCCCAACACAGCTTTAAGATGCTGCAGATGTTCTTCCCAGGATTCACTGTAGATTACCACATCATCTAGGTAGGCTGCTGCAAACCTGGTGCAATCATTAAGAACAAGGTCCATTAACCTTTGAAAGGTTGCAGGCGCTCCATGAAGACCAAAGGGTAGTACAGTGTAGTGAAACAAACCCATTCCTGGAATCTGAAAAGCTGTATACTCTTTGCAGGCTGGTTCAAGAGGCACCTGCCAGTAACCTTTACAGAGGTCTAAAGCTGTGATGTACTTAGCTTTCCCCAACTTCTCCAGTAGCTCGTCAATCCGTGGCATAGGGTACGAATCAAAACAGGAAATGCTGTTCAGCTTCCTCATGTCCGAGCAGAACCGAGGTTCAGTGGTGTTTTTCTTAGGAACAAGCACTATAGGATTTGACCACTCACTTCTAGATGGTTCAATGACTCCCATGTCCAACATCAACTGTACCTCCTTTCTCAGTGGTTCCATCATTCTTTCAGGAATTCTGTAAGGCCTCAGGCGAACAGGTTTAGTGTCCTTCAGTACAATGTTATGCTTTATCACATCAGTGCGTCCAGGTTTTTCTGAGAACAATGCTGGGAAGGATTGTTTAAGCTCACCCAGTTGATGCCACTGATCCAAACTCAGAAGCTCCGGAGGGGCCTGGGGTTTACACTTCTCTCTGTGCGGCACCATGTCAGCCCCCTCTGCTTCCCACACATCCTCCTCTTCCAGCTGGACATCTTGGATCATCAGAACATGTTCTCCACCTGCCTTCTGGTTTTTCCTGTCATGATATTCTTTTAAAAGGTTTACATGCAACAACTGTTTGCACTTTCTTTTATCAGCACAGAGAATTTCATAGGTCACAGGGCCTGCCTTTCGGGTTACTGTATAAGGGCCTTGCCACTTGGCTAGTAACTTACTTGGGCCGGTCGGGAGCAGTATCAAGACTTTCTGGCCAGCTTTCAGCTCTCTTTCACGAGCACGTTTGTCGTACCACACCTTCTGCTTACGTTGAGCTTCATGCATGTGTTCTTTGACCGTTTCTCTGTAACTGTCCAGTTTGTCTCTCATCTGCAGAATGTAGGAGATGACACTGTTGGTTG